CAGATACAGAGAACAGAATGGTGGATGCCGGAGGTAGGGGTGGGGGAGGGCAATGAGCAAAATGGGTGAAGATGGTCAAAAGGTACAAACGTCCAGTTATAAAATAAATAAGTCATGGTAATGTAATGAACAGCATGATAACTATAGTTAACACTATATTGTATATTTGAAAATTGCCAAAAGAGTAGATCTTAAACTGGTCACAAGAAAAATAATTGTAACTATGTGTGGTGATGGGTGTTACCTAGACTTATTGTGGTGATCATTTCACAGTATATGCAAATATTGAATCATGTTGTACACTTGAAACTAATATAATGTTACATGTCAATTATATCTCAATTAAAAAAAAAAAGACGGGCTTCCCTGGTGGCGCAGTGGTTGAGAGTCCGCCTGCCGATGCAGGGGACACGGGTTCGTGCCCCGGTCCAGGAAGATCCCACATGCCGCGAAGCGGCTGGGCCCGCGGGCCATGGCCGCTGAGCCTGCGCGTCCGGAGCCTGTGCTCCACAACGGGAGAGGCCACAACAGTGAGAGGCCCGCGTACTGCAAAAACAAAAACAAAACAAACAAACAAACAAAAAAAGACTATCAAGTAATGTGGAAAGATACTTGTACAAAGATTTTTTTTTTTTTTTTGGGCTATGCCGCATGGCACATGGGATCTTACTTCCCTGACCAGGGATCAAACCCGTGTACCGCACTGGAAGCATGGAGTCTTACCCACTGGACCATCAGGGAAGTCCCCAAAGATGTTATTTTTAATGCAAAAACTGGAAATAACCTAAAGGTCCATCAAAAGGCCAACTAAATTATAGTACATCCACGCTGTGTAGTAATGTATAGCCATTAAAAATCAGGTTGAACATTTACCGAGTGATTATCTTTGGGCAGTGGTATAATGGGCACGGATTTAACTTTTTCTTTGTATTTTTTCCAAGTTTTTTCATCTGAACAATATCTGCAACTAGAAAAAGATCAAATGTACCTTTTCAAAGTGGCTTATTTTGTCATTTCCTACCTGAGCATCCATCTAAAGATCATCAAAACTTGAAGACTGATCTGTTGGCCAGTTTAGGTATAATCAAGCCAAAACATCAACAGCCACCATGACCTCTGCTTCCAGCCATCACCACCCTTGTCCTGAACACACTAAGGGTAGTGGATCCCAGGGGAAGAGAATTCAGAGCTTCCCCCTTCTGTTTGCCAGCTTCTCTGGGGCCCCACTTCTGACCTGGACCCTGGACATTGGTTTTTTTATTTGTTTTGTTTTTAAAGCCCCTCTAACTGACTATAATGTATAGCCACAGTTGGAAACCCATGGTTCTATTCTACTCTGCTCACTTTGCAGGTGGGACAACAGAGGCCCGGAGAAGTTCAGAATGCTCCCAGGGCAGAGCTAGCTCCTGGTCTTTTGATTCCTCGTCCTTTGCACTTAAGCAAACCAATAAAATCAAGGGTGGGGTTTTGTAGATTGACAGACTTGGAGCACCCCAAATGTTTCAAGAGGAAAACGGGGAGTGCAAAGACTTCTAAAAATAACCTAATTTTGATCCCTTCCCCAATCCAAGTTTAGAACTATGTCTGAGCAAATAGTTATCAAAAAGTATTTATTGAGCACAGTACAATTTGGAAAGATTAACCACGGTCTAACATAACAATGGGAAAGGCACTACAAAATCTAACTTAATGCAACTGTGTTGAGTGAGCGAAGATGGTAGAAATCAAAATACCATTGTATTCAAGGTTGGCTTTACCCCAGAACAAATACACATAATTCCATCCAGGCCTTTGCCCTCCTAGCTGGGTCCTAGGACCCCTGTCTCTTTCTCCTGGTGACTGCCAAGAACGTCCTCCTCTGGTTACCCTTGCAAACCAGTTACACTTGCAAACCAAAAGCAATAGTTTCTCTTTCCATCCAGTCTCTACCCTACCCCCAACCAGTCTTAACACCTCACACCTTCCCAATGAGACAGATAGAATGAAGCCTCGGATTGTTTCCCTGGAAGGTGTGCACGGTAGAAAGAAGTTTAGACTTAAGTCACCGATCTGACCGTGTGATATCCGGAAAGCCCTCAACAAAGCATTCAACTCTTTAGGACGCAAACCTCTTCTGTCTGTGACATGCATTGACTACTGGGAAATCTATGAGGGCCAGTCTGATTTATTCAATGACAGCTTTGTGCAAGCCCAGCCCAGACCTGGTTTGTAAATGTGTAGTTAATCTTAAAGCTAGTGGCGTGGGGTGTTACAAGAATGTGTAAAGGAAGCCCTCACTTAATCATTTCCCTACTTGTCCCTGCTTTAAGCAGTACAAGAAATACAGAAAACACGGGAGGTGAGAAAGATTAGATTTGTTGCAATCTAAGAACAACTTTGATTGTTGAAGAAAACTTCACTATTGTTTGAAGTGTCTTAAATCAATACCCTGGTGCTGCCTGAATTCTAAGTTATGTGGAAAATTTTGATTTTCAATATTTACGCTTAAGTTTTAAAAAATCCTCAATTTCTTATCTTGAATTTTTAGCTCCCTCTTTTTCACGATATAGTGAGTGAAGTGTGTTAGATGGGAAGGGGGAAACCCCTACCATTTGCCTCACTGAATGCCCAGGCTGTTCAAGCAGCAAGACACTTCTCTGCAAGAAGAAAATCTGCTTGTTTTGCTTTTAAAGGGCAATTTTATATTGCCACCTGCATTCATTAGTTTACAAAATTCACTGAGCTCCCACATGCCAGGCCACGAGGAGAAAATACTAAGCAAGCTAGACAAGTTGCTTGCATTCTTAGAGCTTATCATTCACTGGAAGAGGCAGGCAATAATCAGATATTCGCACAAAGGTGTGCTTACACAGTGTGATAACTGCTGTGAAGAAACACGGGAGCAAAGAGAACCTATAAAAGGAGGAGGGAGACTGGAAGGTGAGTGAAAGTGTCTCCTGAGGAGCTGACCTTTGAAACTGAAGGATGAATGGGAGTTTATTTAGAGAAAGAAGGACAGGGAGCTCAGGCAGGCGCAGGTCACAGGCCAGGCAAAGGCCAGAGGCCAAGGGGAAGAGTAGCTGTTGGAGAGAAGTTTTGTCAGCTGTCCCCTTAAGGTCTTATCAATTATATGGGGCAGGTATGCAATTGTTTTCTTTTGGCAACTCCACCTGTACTTGCAAAGTATTAATTTTCCCAAGTCACCTGACACCAATCCACCTTTAAAAACATTAACCCATTATTTATCAAGTGCTCTCATTTTGTCCCCATCACACACCAATGTGGTGATTTCTTATCGTGAATTTTTAGCTCTCTTACTTTTACATGATCGACAGTGAGTGAGGTCGTGTGTAGGATGGAAAGGGGGCGACCCTTCCGTTTGGTTCACTGAACGATCAGTGTCTTCAAGTGGCAAGATAACACCTCTCTACAAGAAAATCTGCTCATCTCGCTTTTAAAGGGCAAGATGGTCCTTTTCCAGAATTGAAAGTTACATGACTAAAGGTAATGTTTAAAACAGTTTGAGAAACACTAAGGGGAAAATGCGCTCTTCGTCAGCTTCCTGAATTAGGGAGACAGAGTAGACCCTTGAGAGAGCAACAGAGAGCAGCCCGTGCATCTGCCTGTGGGTATAAAGTGTGTGTGCACAGAAAATGCCAAACAGCATTTCAGGATGGAGACTGGTTCTTATTCCTTCCCTCTGCCCCATTTTAAAGACAAAGCAAGAGGAAAGGGGAAGGGGCAAGGGGGCTCTCAAACTCATCTAAAAGTTACTGGGTGTCATGGGGACAGAGAATGAACAAGAGATGAAAAAAAAAATACTACGCAGAAAGATTTCTCTGGAGTGGAACCCACCCCCCAGCCTCTAAATAAATCCTACAATTTAATGCCCATAATATTCCATTGCACATGGAAGCCAGGTTCTTCATAATTCCTCAGTTACTAGATCTAGAAATCTACACATAAAGGCCACCCTCCTGTCACCAAAACTTTCAGGAAGAAAAATATACGGCTTCCTCCACCACCCCCGCAAAGAGTTGTAATTAATACATTGTTTCAGTTTTCATTTGCCACACTTTCTACCTCCCCTCCCCAGAAGGGCAGCTTCTGTGGCGGCCCAGGGCATCTCACAGCTGCAGGGAGCCCTCCCTCCCAGAGGGTAGCCCTGCGCCCCGGCAGACAGCAGCCCTGGCACGTTAGCATCTGCAGCCTGTCTGGTCCCTCCCCTCTGGAGTCCCTGTGCACTGCGACGACGCGCTGGCTTCCCAAAGCCGCAGTGGATTGTGTAACCACACTGTGAACGCCTAGAGGAGAGCGTGGTTAGCTTCACTCCTGACAGCATCTGTTAAAAGTCACTGGTGCCAGTTAATAAGAGACCCACCAGGCAGGAGGGACCTTAAGACTCTGGGGGAAGGAGAGAGCGAAGCGCTGTCTGGACAACATCACTGGAGGTAGGGGGTGGACTTTATAAATCTCTCCAGCAGCAATATTTAAACCCGAAATTCTGTCCTTAGAGCTGGCGTTGCAGGACGGTGAAGAGCGCGCGGAGCCCCGCTCCACGCCTTTAGTGCGGATCAAAGAAAGGGGGATGGGCGGAAACTCAGAATCCTGGGGGGAGTAGTCAGAATTTCTCCTCAGGGAAGCCTCTTGTGAAAATGCCAAGGACGTCTCCGCTCCTCTTTTCAATTATGTAACTCTTACACATTTGGGAGAAAATGCATGAACATAAATTTAATTACTTATGAAAGTCTCCAAATAGGCTGCATTTAAAGCTCTGGGGGCTTCTAAAGTCTTACTAGACCTGGTTGCCACCTGGCATCGTTAGACGATGTCATCCTAGGGATTGGACTCCCACCCACCCCTCCCTGGTACCCACAGCGCGGGCAGCCGGGTCGCCGCTCGGGTATGGGGCCCTCTCGGCACGGCAGGATCGGCGCGCACCCACCGCCGCGTCGCCAGGACCAGCAAGTCCGCAGGCGGCGGGGCGAGCTGTCCCCTCCCCCCACCTGGCCCGCGGTTACCTGCGGGACCGCGACTCTCCGCAGCCCACTGGCCGGCTCCCCGGCGCCCCTGCCTTTGCCTGCGGGGAGATGCCCGAGCCCGGGCGCCCGCGCCGCGCCCTCCGCGGGGCCAGCACAGGGCTCGCCGGGGCCTTCATCCGGCGCGGGGAAGAGCCCGCAGCGGCGCTGGAAGCGGGCGACGAGCTGGGAATCCTGCAGGCTCCAGAGCAGCTCGGCCATGGTGATCCCGGGGCCGCCGCCGCCACCACCCGGTGCCCCCAGCTCGCACTGTGCCTCCAGCCTTCGCCCTCGCCGGGCTGGGCGCTCGGGGTGGCGGGCGGGGCCCGGGGCGCCAGCCAACAGGTGCGCCGCTCGGGTCCTAGCGCCCGCCCCGCGCACGCGGACGTCCAGGTGTTCGCTTTCACCTTGCGCCAGGCACGTCCGCCCTCCTTTCCTTCCCGGAGGGCCCGGGCGGGCTCGGGCGATCCCTGGCGTCCGGCCCGCTCGCAACTGGGCGAAAGGGTACAGGTGTCTACACCGCGCCTCTCTGCGCCCGACCGCGCCTCCTCCACCCCTCCCGGCTGGTGAAGTGCCACCTAATGGGGAGCGGCCGAGCACGTGTGGACCTGCGTGAGTCCATCCTGGCGTGCGCCGCTGATCGCTTAGTGACCTTCCTTTCACTTTTGAGCTCAAGGGGAGGTCTGATTTCCCCTCCAGCTCCCCGCATCCCGCCTGTAGTCCTGCCTTTGCCCACTTCCGGCAGGTAGAGGGAGCCCCCCCCCCTAGGGAAGATTCCCAAGTTCTTACCAAACTCTGCGTGATGCAACGTCTCCCCACGGGCCCAAGCTTCTTTGACCTTGCTCAACCGAGTAGGTTCGAAGTGGGTCCTGAGTCATCCTCTGCGTCCCTACCCTTGCCCTTGTGATTTGGCAACTGGGGAACACTTCCAGGCAGGTGGAGAGGAAAATGGATTCTTTCTTGGTTTTCCGCATTATGAAAGACGGTGGTTGCCCCTCTCCTACTTTTTTCCGCTCTGCCTCTAGACCTTTAGACCCGAAGAGAACAAGGTGTTGAAGGACCGCGACGAGGTTGACTTCTCCCTACACCTGCGCCTGCTTTAGGGATCTCAGCAGAACAGCAAAGAAAACATCCCGCTGGTCGACCTTGGTTTTCCCTCCTCCCTCCTGAACCTTCTAGCGGCACTGCACTTCCTCACGGAGTGAAAGGCAACAATCAAATTAGGCCCAGATGACCTGCTTGCAACGAAAGTGCAATTCAATCCTTCTATCTTCAGTCTGCCGCTGAAGGCTGAGCAGTTCCTGGTAGCCCAGTGTAAGTCCTGCTAAGTATTTGGTTGCACAAATGACTATGGAGGAACACCTGCCACGACCTTGTTTATCCAGATGTCAATTCAGGTCTTTGGGATGTAGCTTTCAAGGATGACGAGGTCTCCCTCATGCCTGAGTTTCCTCTCTCCTTCCCAGTCCTGTCTGGTGAGGAAGATCAACGTGGCTGAGAGAGCAATGAAACTATTCGGAAATACCGTTCCCCACTTAACTCACAGAAGCAGCACAGAGCTGCGGTCACAATCCGGCTGTGTCACACACAGAGATGTTCAATCCTAGAAGCAGAAGGCTTCTCTCCTCAATGTTGCTGTCATTTACAGTCACCGGGACCAAACCCTGTGGTTTAGTTTGTTGTTGTTGTTTTTGTGGTTTAGTTTTAACAGCTGGAATTGTAGTGGTTTCGGACCTGTTCTTTTTTTTTTAATATTTATTTATTTATTTATTTATTTATTTATTTATTGGCTGCGTTGGGTCTTCGCTGCTGCGCGGGGGCTTTTCTCTAGCTGTGGCGAGCGGGGTCTACTTTTCCTTGCGGTGCGCGGCCTTCTCATTGTAGTGGCCTCTCTTGTTGCAGAGCTGGGGCTCTAGGCACGTGGGCTTCAGTAGCTGTGGATCGTGGGCTCTAGAGCGCAGGCTCAGTAGTTGTGGCGCACGGGCTTAGTTGCTCCGCGGCATGTGGGATCTTCCCGGACCAGGGATCGAATCTGCATCCCCTGCACTGGCAGGCAGATTCTTAACCACTGCACCACCAGGGAAGTTCCAGACCTGTTCTTTGTATGTTCCCCATGAAGACACTTGAGTGATGTTATCTCCCAAATTTGATGCTTCGATTTTCCTTCCTCCCAATTAGGAAAAAGAGGCAAAGCCAAACATGGCACATGGAGCATAAGGCCAAAAATTGCATATTCAGACAATGCATTATATCCCCTTGGGGACCAGGTACTGACTCCAGCTTCCAGTGGCTTGTGATGTCACAGTGTGCCTCACTTTCCTCCTGTGATGAAATGAGCCACACAACTAAGTGGCAGAAGGAGGATTCCACTCAGGTCTTTGTGACTCTAAAACATATTCTTTCCATTACTAAATCACATTGCATCCCTGGAATTTACTCTTTACTCTTTACTCTTGTATTGAAAAGTATTCCCAGTGTGTAATGAGTGCTCAATAAACACTTAGTGAATGTTGTTCTACACTAAGAGTACCCCTCACAGTTTTTAGAGCTTTGGGAGTTTAGGACTCATTTGCAAATTTTTGCATGTAAACTCTACAACCCCCAGAGGCAAGTAGTTTTATCTCTTTTTTTAGAGGAGAAAACTGAGACTCTGAGATGTGAAGTAATTTTTCCCAAAGTTACAAAACGTATTACATACTCTTTTCAGGGTCTGCCATCTCACACTGCTCTTATGGGAGGATCTCCTTCCTCCTTCACCCACTCTCTTCCCAGGGGATGGGAAAGGAATGGGAGAGGAGATTGGCAGCCATCGTTTGAGCCATATGACCTGGCCCCCTGGTCAGAGCTAATTGGCCCTGGGCTGGACACCACTTGACCAAATTTGGGATCATCAAACGCTTTCTCTTTGGGCATTTGGATTCATAGACCCCAGTTGGTATCTGTTGAACTAAGGAGAAGAAAATTCACAAACTGGAGACCACACCGTGGGGCAGGCAAGTGGTCTTACTGCTGAGTGCTCACGAGGGAGAAATAAAGCAGACACACAGAGAAGTTAGGCAAGGCAAGCAATTGATTCTGAGAGAGAGCTCCGCGGTGCCTCGTTCCAGCCACAGTGAAGGTCCTCCTAGCCTGGGTTCCCAAACTACCCCCGAATCCTTGGTAACAACTCCCCCATTTCTGTTACTAATGGCCTGGAGAGTCCTAACTCAGCCAGCCAGGAATTGGCAGAACACGGAAATGGAGCAGCAACTCCCCACCTTCAAGTCACCATCAAGGGGTTACCAAAGCCCTGCCCACCGCTTGCTGCTGGAGGCTTCTTCTTGCTGCCATGGAAACCTATTCTGACCCCTCACCCCAGCCCATCAGGGTGTTGAAAAGGGCTGCAGAGTCCTGGCTTCCTAAGAGATTCTGGAACACAGTGAATCTATTGATATTTCACCTCATGGTGAATCAGACTGCTTTCTAGGCTTTGCTGGAAATCTAGTCACTTTATGTGGGGAAGGCATTCTGAGATCCAAGCTAACTTTTGGCACATAACCCTTTCAAAATTTGCAGACTACTGTATATGTGAATTTGGTTACTGGCAGTCTTTTTTTAAAAGGGTAATTTATATCTTTGCATATATGTTACGTAAAGTAACCAAGGATTAATAGCCTTAGCGGATTAGAGATACATCATTTGTTGACAAATCGATCAAAACCCTAGGCTCCAAGGACTGTTCAGATCACTGAAATTTTAAAATGTAAAGCATTAAACGCATCTTTTTTTTCTGGGGTTCAAACCCTTTCTTCTCCTTAACTAATGAAAAACAATTTTTCTATTTAGACAGTTTCAATAAATCATCAAACATAAATTCTTGGGGTTGGCGGGAACCTTTCAGGCTGGGAGAAATTTCAGGTTAAAACCTCCCTGCTTAACTGAGCTTGGCTTTGCAACATTTCATCCTACAAATGGTTTAAAAGAAAACAGTTACAGGTGATGTTCCTGTAAACAGGGGGACAGAAAGAGAGAAAGCAGTAAGAAGAAAGACTGGGAGCCTTGAATGTCTCCTGCAGCGAACAGGCAAGGAATGGTCCAGTTCGCATGCTCTCACAACCATGAGTATTGGTTAAGAGTTTGATTTCAGCCAGGACTCCTTGGTTTGAATCCAGTTGAATCAAACCATATGAGACAAAATCATTGTCCCATGAGTTTTGATGGATTTTGACCACTTCATGAGGAACCTTGTAGGGTTTAGCCTGCTCTACCTAACTAAAGAACTTGAGGGAAGGGGGTTATCTCATGCCAACCAATTTTAAAAGTCAGTCCTCTTTGTTTGGCTTATGCTTTGATAAAACATCAAACATCTAATAGAGAAAAGGGAACCATTTCTTCCAATTCCATCAGGCATGCATTGGGGTTGGTCAAGCTCATATACAGAGAGCCCCAATTTAAGACAAAGAAAATATATTTGACTGTTCACAAGTGGTCTATTAGGACAGTCATTTTTATTCCTAAAGAATATTCCCTATTAGTATCACTCCTTGTTGAGTCCTTTCAATAATCAGTTTCCTGGACACTTTTTTTTTTTTTTTTTTTTGCAGTACTCGGGCCTCTCACCGTTGTGGCCTCTCCCGCTGCGGAGCACAGGCTCCGGACGCGCAGGCCCAGCAGCCATGGCTCAGGGGCCCAGCCGCTCCGCGGCATGTGGGATCTTTCCGGACCGGGGCACGAACTCGTGTCCCCTGCATCAGCAGGCGGACTCTCAACCACTGCGCCACCAGGGAAGCCCCCTGGACACTTTTATAATATGATTACAGTTTCAGTTAACATAACACTTTCCAAGACTAGGTTTATTACATAGATCTGGGTAGAACTGTACCACTTAGTTATCAAAAATTTAAAACCTCATTTACTTCAGAATAAGCTTCCAAATCTAAGTGAAGCATTTTTGGTTATATTTCATGGGTATATTCAAATTCATGAATCATCTACAAGCTAAAGGTGGATTGGAAAACTTCACAGATATTCATCTCCAATATGCATTGTATAATAAAGCAAGTCCCAGAATAATATGCAACACTAGGTATAATATGTTGCTATTTATGTTTGAGATGTTAAAATACACGTTTGTGTGTGTGTGCAGGTACATACCTGTGCATACATGCAAAAGATTTGAAAATGGTCTGGCGTAAAATCACTCATTAACTAACAGTAGCTACCTCCTGGCGTGGGATAGGAGACAAGGGGGACTTTCAGTTTTTACTCTATGTGCTGGGATTTGTCTGAATTTTTCACAGATGTATATTCCT